AGCTGATTCCTGCCTTATTTTCTTGGTTAGATTAGATTTGTGAGACTTACATATGAAGACCCACAGCCAATATTCTGCGATTGGGTAAATGGCTGTCAATCATCAACAACAACAAACAACAACCAACACACAACAACAACAACGCCACACAGAATGGATAAAGGGTTTAAACCTTTCACGTCACGACGTTAGTTCTCCATGATTGGATGAAAGCACGTCTCGCGCTCATTAAGTATTCATGACAGATTTTGGCGGCCTCCATGGTTTTAACTTCCCGGTGTTGCACGTTTGTTGAATGTTCTCACCTGTAGCAGCGGATGCAGCGGCAGGTTCTCTCAGTTGGCCTTTAGTCGCGTACAGCGTTAGAGCATCGACATTACATGCAGTTGAAAGGTAACGTGATGCTTATATTTTGAGCATTTATAAACGATGATAAGCGTTAACCAGACGTTGCTGGGCTAACATTAGCTAACGTTTGAAGAGTGGTTGCTAACAGTTAGCGTCGATGCCCGCGAGTGTTAACCGTTGAGAACCGTTGAGAACCGTTGAGAAAGCTCTTCCAGCGGTTCGTTACTAACGGCTTGATTAACGTTAAGCTGGACGTTGGAAACGGTTTGTTATCTGATTCAGTGACGTTTGCAAGCTTAACAACTTAAAGTTACGGTCACTAAGCCGTTTTAACATGTAATTAGAATTTAAATGTAATTAAATTTAAAATGTAAATGCGCTTTCAGCTAACGTTAACTACAAAGTGTTAAGGCTGCACTGAACGTTAGCTAACCTTAAGTTCATTTACTCCCATCACGAGTAAACAGGCAGTGTCTTTCCAACTTTTAGCTTTGTTCCAGTAAAATGAAGGTGTTTTTTAAATGTAGGGAACAATCCATATTATATGTAACGCTACATGCCATATAACGTTAGATTTTAACATTTGGCTGTGCTGACCGATATTTTGAAACCGAAGACATTATGGTTTATTTTGAGGATGCCGCCATTTAAGTTGGAGCATTACAGAAAAGTGTGGTTTTATTTAACTTAGATCACTCTGACAAATTGGCTGTCTTGGGAAATCATTTGTTCTCTTTTATCTTTGAATTTCACCCTCTGTGGGTTTGAGAATAGCTTGGCTCCACAATATGATAACCCCCCAGTAGTGTGTGTGTGTGTGTGTGTTGAGTCATTTCTGACTTAATTGGAGTGAGATTTAGTGTTTGGGTTTAGAACTGAAACTAATTACTGATTAATCTGCCCATTATTTTCTAGATTAATTGATTAGTCGTTTGATCTTTCAAATGTAGTGTAATCTATAGTGTAATAAATGTCCTTCCAGTCCAAGGTGAGGGTCTTTTTGTCAGTACAAAACTAAGATATTCATTTAATGTGATTTAAGACGGAGAAAAGCATTAATTCCAATATCTGAGAGGTCGTAAACATGTTCCGCTGTTTTTGCATGAAAAGTTGCACAATAGATTCATAGATTATCCAAAATAGTGGGCCATCATTTTTCTGTCAAACAACCAGTCTCCTAATTGCTGCTCCATGAACACACGGTGGCCTAAACCAGCAGTGTATTTTTCAGTCTGAACATGCTTTAAAATAGAATAACGAGGCCCAAAACAAGATTAGGATCTAAAGTGAGAGAAAATTGCTGCAAATCTATAGTGATGTATTTTTCCACCTCCAGTATGTGTTATCTGAAAGCCCTTTTGAGGAGCCAGTAAATGCCCATTGTGTTTTGTCAGTAGCTCAGTAGATGATGGTGTGAGACTGTGTGTGCTCTCTGTTTCAGACCCTGGGCTTTCAACAGACATGGATGACAAAGTGCACACGAGGAGCACAGTTTTCCACAGGCTCAAGCCGACCCAACAAGTACACTTGAAACCTCTCTCGGTGTATTCCAGGATGATCACTTGTGACCGGAAGACCAGTCCGGCTCAGTTTTCTAATCCATTCATCAATTTTAAAATTGAGCTAAAGAACGATGGTGACAAAAAAAGGACATTAGATGATTCAGGTCGCGATGAGGGTTATGAAACCCCAGCAAAGAAGCCCTTTAGTCCAGAGGCTTTGTCCCCAGACCTCGGCTGCTTCTTGGACTACTCCAGCCCCACTGCAAGACAGGACTCTGTGTCCCCTTTTGCCACCTCTAAGCCTGCGTTGTTAAATGACACGCAAGCTTTGACAAGCAAAGTAAAACAAACTGTGAGCTGTCAGCTGCACTCGGAGCGTGTGGAGTGTGGGTCGTCCACAGAGCCAGGGGAACATAAGGGGGCTGTACCACTCAGCTCGAAGTGTGAGAAGGACCTCTCGAATGTTGCGCCTGCCTTTGACTGTGATGTAGACGACATCTTGTGTCTCACACTCCCTTGGGTACTTGTGCTGCGGGAGGAGTGTTGGAGTCTGTGGACTCGCCCGTGGAGTCTTTAGAAGGGGACGTTGAAGAAGCGTGGAATATTGGTCTCCCCGTATTTGAATCGTCTGTGTGTCACAATGTCACAGTGAAGCTGAACGCTAGTGGGCAGAGTAGACAGGTGTCAGAGGAGGTGAAGGGCGGTCACACGTGTCTGGTCACCCTTAGTGGAGATGAATCCACTTTGGACACCAGTTATGAAACGATGTTGCCTCTCCAAGTGCAGGTAAGCTGTTCTGGCTGATGTGAGCTGGTCTTGCACACACAGTTATGTCTGTGGAGCTCATTTTTCTCCACTGTATAGTGCGCATACTGTATGTCCACACACACAACCTCTGCTTTCTTCAAGGTGAAGTCCGTTATAGTGGCTCCCAGGCAGCAACCCTCCAGCAGTAAACCAGCAGCACATCCTCTGCCAGGGCTCGATGCTGCCAAAGGTGACAGCAGGGCCAGGAGTCAAAGGTACTGTACTCATCTGTCACCACTAGGGGGAGCAGGATGACCATATAAAACGCAATGTGGAAGTTTTGGCCATGCTGAACTGTTAAGAGGGTAACTGTGTCTGTCCTTGGTAATATTTTTCCCTGCCTGTCTTTGTCATCAGCGTCTATTAGCTCATATATTTTTTTAATAATGGTTTGGTTTCGCTATTCTGGTAGACTGCTGTCTGAAACATGAGAGCACTTGTACAGCTGAATGTGGTTAAGTGTGCTTGTATAGAGGTGTTGTCTTTTTCAGGCCGGTGGTCCTCGACAGGGAGGTGGAGCGGGACAAAAGGCTGTATCTCCAGTCGGTCACCAGACACCTGAATGGAGCAGCTCAAGGTATGGCCCTGTGACTGAATGGTGTGCAGTTTGTTTCATACGCTGTCGTTCTTGTTGTTTTGAAGGTCATCTCTTTTTCCATCTGCCCTAAATTCAGTGTAAATATGTTTTTATTTTGAAATCGTCTGTTTCCTGAAGATGTCATGACTGAGCTGCTGAAACTGATGAGCCATGTGGCGGACCAGACACCAGCCAGTTATGGCAAACAGTGGCAGCACCCCTCTGACCTCACCCGCAGGTACATTATTCTCATTGGGTTTCTTTAGTTATGAAGAGGAGAGGATTTAAAGAAGCCTTGGACACACTGCTCGTGTCTGCAGTGCATGTGCCTTGTTTTTTTTCTGCGCCCGTCTAAACCGGTTAGAGTTTACGCTGCCTGTGTGAGCCTCAGATGCGGCTGCAGCGATGCTTCACTAGAGATGTCTCGCAAAAATAAACAGTGAAAAGGATCTATTCATAGTCATATCAACAATATACACACCCTTGAATTCCTCCAGCTCCTGTAGGTCTGGCCCCTTAAGAGTTTTCTAGTTATTATTATTATTATTATTATTATTATTATTAATAATGATTGATGATAATAATTAATATTAATAATAATAATTGTTAGATAAAGGCAATAGTCGACTAGTTATCGCACATGTATGACATTGATTTAATTATTGAAATATATATTTTAACAGCTGCTAACAGAAAGTGTTAATGACTGTGAATGTGTGAGAACAGCCAGCAAGGAGACATTAAGTCATTTATTTCAACCCAGTAAAGCTTCACACGAGACTCCTGGTTCAAAACAGAATAAATAACTTCCATCTCCACAGAAACAAATATTTGCAGACTTATCGATATGATGGCTGATGTAAAGCGACAACAGTTACTTAAATATTAACTCGCTCCTTTTCCTCCGTTTCATTCCTGTCCTGTCGCTGCCTGAACCCGCCGAGTCGTCATCGTCCTGGTCGGAGCCGCTGTAAATCAGCTGGCCTCCGTTGTGGCTGTGAGCCCGTGTCCGTTGTGTGCTCCTTGGCAGTATTCCCCACTGGGTCCCCCGCTCCTGTGCTAATAGTTTACAAGAGAAAACATCCATGTTGCAACAATCCCGTGATACTTTTGTACTCTTCTCAGCAACTACCGTTTAAATCGACTCTTAGGGGGCAGTCCTAAACGTTTCCTGTATCCGTTTCAAGTTCTTCAGCGTTTGTTTGGACAGAATCCATTCTTTTAGCTCCGCTTGTATTGTGAAGTTAACCTCAATGTAGAGAGATGGGTCTGGCTGCAGCAGAGCCGCTCTGTGTGAACACCACAGGCGTGCACTGCTCACTCGGTGTGTCCAAGCCGTTACAGCAGATTTGTTTCAACATAAAATGTGTTGCTCTGCATTTGTGCTTACTTTCAGGAACTATCAACAGCGGTTTCAAAACATCCTGCCAAAAGTGGCCCTGCATGAATGGCATGCTAAGAATGGAGCAACTCACAAGCGCTTTGCCAGAGTCCCAAAAATTTTTGAAAGGAGTCAGTTTCCCTAAATTGGATTGTCGACAATCTCATTGTGAACAAATTGCACTATACGTCTAAATGTAATTCTAAAACTAATTTAATTTTTCTTTCTTTCTTTCTTGAATTTTGGTGTGTATTTTTGGTTTGTCAGTTTTGAGTCTTGCTCTATATTTTTCTTTCAACTATGCATGTCCCTGTATTTGAAACTTAACGCATGTTTTAAGTGGTTTTGGTGTTCTAGAAATTATGCTAGGAATAAGCACTTACAGGTTTCAAGCACCTTAGATGCCTTGTCTTTTTACTATGTTTGAAACTGTGCCTGTTTTAATGTGTGTTTAAGTGTGTTTTGTACTTCAGCCGTGTGGAGTTTTGTACTTTTTGTTGTTTCGAGTACAAAGGTATTCAACGTTTATGTTAATGTTTATTTACTCAGGACATTATTTGAACCACTAGGCCTGTACTGTAGTTTGTTATTGTCCCTGGATCACTCTGAGAATGAGCAGCTAGCAGAAGGAAAACATTGCACAGATTTAGCAGGCATATTGGAGTGCTGCTGGAGTGAATGTTCCTGTTAACTTTTCCCACCCTTGTGCATCGAGACTGTTGTTTGGGTTGGAGGGTGAAAAGGTTCATTTTAAGGTATAGTGCATGTCAAAAGAGAGTAATGTATTATGCAAGCCTGGAAATGTTTATGAAGAGGTTGTAGTCCAGCCCTGCATACAAACCTCCAGAGATTTATGTGAACTGCCATCCCTGAACATTCAAAGTGATATAAAAAGTAATTCAATATTTGTGACTCAACAGTCAAAAGAACTGAGCATTTCTAATGTAATTTAATAGATTTTATATGGGGACAGACAGAAATGGTTAAGTTTTGTGTTCCATATGTTGGCGTGGAGTTAGCTAGAAGTGATTTATTCAGGTCAGTTCACCCACATCATATAAACATTTTTCAACCATACCTTAAGTTGTAACAGGGAATCTGAATTAGACCTCTGAGCATTTTAAGTACTACTGGAATAAAATTCCAGTCCACAACAAGATCTGTGAATTATACTTAATAACCCAAAAAACCCACTTTTCATTTTATCAAAATGAATTTTGTTTACCACAAACAAATGTTCTTTGTACCTCTTTTCTGAGGGGTCAGCAGAGAGTGAGTCAGTGGTGGATTTTTCAAACAAAATAACAATAACCCAAACACTAGCACTCGGGGTTAAATGGTCAAATGTTTTCTGTGATTTGTGAGAACTGACCCTTTAATTGTAAAGCAGCAGTGGCCGCAGTTTACTTTGAGCTGCTTGGAGGATTCTCTGCACTGTGGTTTCATTTAAACCCTGTAACACTGTGAAAAAAGTAAAAAGTACCACAGGCGCTGATTGGAGAACTCGGCCCCCTAGAGTCAGAGCAGGGCTGTGTTTGTTTGGGGGCGAGACACTGCTGCTGATGAAGTACTTACAATAAAACCTAGCCTGTTCAACTTGCACCACAGTTGTCATCCTCTGTTAATATTTGGTGAGTTGTGCTGCATATATGTCGGCTTTATTCCCAGTCTACTACGCAGAGCGCTGTGCACAGGTACCGGCTGACAGAAGTTCCCCCATGGAGCCCAAATACATGGACCTCATCAGCGTGGGGCCCATCCGTTGAATAATGCAGGCTTTAAAAGTAATCCTGTCTGTACAGTTGGTGGGGCAGCCTGTCCCTGGCCAGCCATCCAGAAGGCAGGTGTGTGTGTGTGTGTGTCTGAAGGCCTCGTGACATGCTGTGCACACTGCTGCGCACGTGTGAAGCCGAGCAGCCACAGCACCTCTACACCTTCTAACAATGTGCCCCTCCAAAGTCAGGAGGGCAGCAAGGAAGCCGTTTGTGTTTACACGCCTCACAGTTCTTCCTCAAAACAGACTGCTCTACCAAAAACCATGACAGATCGAAGGCATGCATGCCCGCTACAGAATCCCACCACCTCTTTCTGCTGCTCAGGCCAACCGGTGCTCTTGCATTGATGCATAGACAAACAAACATAATCCAATGTGGGGTTTGAGTAAGATCGAAGTGATTTGTTGTGTTTTGCCATTTAAGTCTCATTGATTTCTAACTCATTACAAATTCAGGCACGTTTTCTTACACAAGGTGCTGACTCGACAGTGAATGTAATAGCCTGAAACCATGTTGTTGGGAGAATTTTTCAGGAGGATTTTAGACTTTCTCAGGAAAAACTCCATTCTTCCCCAGTAACAGTGAGATGGCCAATTGTATCTGTGCTTTTTTTTTTTTTGATGGAGAAAACTCTTGACAGTTGAAGCCTGGTGAAGAGATTCACATGTATTATTCACTAAAAAAAACCCTGTCTTCTTGGATCCTGTAAAACTGTTTGCTTTGAAAGAACATTTCACCACCCTGACTTTTATTTTTTTTATTTTGTCCAGAACGGTTTAAACAGCCTCCTTTTTTTGTTTTGAATCTTATTACTTAATGTTTCCAATTAAGACCAAACACAGACTTTTGTGGAAAATATTAGGTATTTTTTATTTTAAGCATACACAAGTAAGCATACACCATATCCTTCATAACTGAAGTTGTGTAACCTTGTGCATAATAGTTAAACCATGCTAGCCCTCATTAAGCAATGACTGCTGTACACTTCATACAATGAATATAAACATGATAGCACTAATAAAGCAGTTCATTTTTCTAAACCATGCTTCTTTGTGGATCTCATTCCTATATTTCAAGAACCCAAAATGAAATAGTCCAACTTCTCTGTGATATCACAATGATGCGTTCCAGTTTCCAGGCATGTTTCTAGTCTCATACAAAATACACATTGTGTAAGTTGTTTTGAAAAATCCAGTCTCTTTACTGTCTTGTTGCAAAATAGTCTGTTACTGCTACCGAGCAGACAGTATTTTACATACAGTAGCACGAGGAAACGCCTCGGGCCCCTCACAGAGAAACAAAGTCCTCAGTGTGTTGTTAAAAGAGTGATTCGCCACCACAGGGCTATAGTGGAATGTTGAGTTGGTACAGTCGTCACCATTAGTCGAGTGTGATTAAGGAAAAACATTTTTCATCTGTGGTGGAAAGCTTAAAACCTCTTCTGACCAGAAACACCAATAGTGGCTACAGAACCTAAGCTTTAGCAGTAGGAACAGTTCAGAGGTCACTGCACTCCCACCACCAGGTAGGAAATGTGTGGGCTCTGGTTAGGTACCCAGATGACTGCCATTAATTAACCCAACATGTACGACCTCTGTGTAGTTCTTTAACGTGGTCAATTCCACTGCTATTTAAAACCAAACAGCTGTTTACCATCAACGTGAGGCTGCTGAATTATCATCTCTGTGTAGAAGAGCTCACTCAAACATTACTTGTATGCAGACTCGTACTCATTTTGGGAATTATTTCCTTTTGTTTCCAAGAGTTGAATGAGAAGATCAATATCACTCATACACACACTACAGTCGTAGCTTAGCATAAAGACTGGAAACGAAAACAGCTGGCCTGCCTCTGTCCAAAGGTAACAAAAAACCCTGTTTCCATGCTTTATGCTAAGCTAGCCATCTACTAGCTGTAGCTTCATATTTATTGTCGAGGTATGTGAATGATCTTGTTTGTCTGACTCTGCAAGACAAGCGAATAAATGTATTTCCCAAAATGCCAAACTAGTCCTTTAACAGTAAAGTTGGACAAAAATCTGCCACAAAAGTGGATGTTCACAGTAGCCCTACATTTAAATGAGTATTAGGGAATACACTATGTACAGTAGCAACATAGAGGAGTGTGCTGTAAGTTGCAATTTATAATACACTCCATTTAGAATGAACTTTATTCAGTTAAACCTCTGACCGCTTTAAGTGTAAACCTCTTATGTTGCTAGTAGATCAAGTTTGACTAATTTAAGCAACTGTAGAGGAGGAAAGGAAATACATAATTACCTACAGGGAAGAAATATATTGTTGGCAAACTTATAACATGGCCCTAGTTCATTCCAGGACACAGTCATCATCACCCTTTACTCTGTGGATGGATGCCTATTGATCGGAGTGCCAGCTAGTGGTGAGGTGTTCCTGGGGGAAAAATGGATTCAACCTTTGACCGCAGGAGTTTTCGGTGAAGTGCTGATCACTCTGGGTAAAGAGCAGCACAACACCGTCTCAAGGCTTCACGAGTTTCTCCTGGGAACAGCCGGAGAGGCCCCTGCGACTTCCTTTCTCCCTTTCTTCACTCTGACACTTTACTTACCGACTCTTCTCTCTGACATGAACCAGTGCTCATTGGAGGAGTGCAAGCTTGAGCTTTCCCACTCTTATTAAGAGAGGATGTAGTGTGAGAGGAAGGCAGGGAGTGATAGAAGCCTGCTATTGCATTAGTCATCGTTCTACCCACTCCGCTCAAACCTAACCTTCACTGCTCTCTCTTAACATCATTCGCTGTCTCTCTCTTCCACCACATGTGTATTTGTCTGCGTTGACAATAAATGAGGAGCCAGGGTATCACCGACTGAAATGGAGTCCGTGCAGAAGAAGAAGGAGCATATGTGTTTATCATTCTATCTCATTTGTGTGATTATTTTACATTTTCCTCATCAAAGAGTCTTTTCTTATTGCACAAAAACAACACGGTGACAGAATGTAATAGAAATACTTAATAATAGAGTAAAAAGCTCATTAATGAAAGCAGTGTATTGACAAAAAAAAAAACACCTACATTTTCACCAGTAGCAGTCCCCTTTTACATTAGGAGTATACATTTGCCACATTAGTCTTATTTCATTAAAGGCTCTCTAAACTGACACCACCGAACAAGAATGAAATATAAAATGTATTTACATATTCAATTCAAACTCTTCAAACGTATGATCTCAGCCTACGTGTCATCTGTCATGTTTCCTTTTACTTTGCACACATTTAAATACCATGTGAAAGCTAATGAATTTGACAGAAATGTGAGATACGGGGCCTTCCGTCTCATTAGACAAATCATAAGTTATAATTATTTTTAAGGCAGCACTACTGAGTTTGAATCAGCCCTCAAATACACCATTCGTAAAACAAGTTCCCTCACAGTATACAGCGCACAGTGCCATATGGCAACAGATGATCCCTCATCATTGTTTTTTAAGCCTCTTTAACATGGAGTTTCAACACATTGTATTTGTGAAAAAGTCTTGATAGAAGCCCTTCTGTTCAGGATGTCACAAGGATGTCTCAGGGTTGAAGGCTGGGCTCATAAAAAGTATTTTTCTCTCCATGCTCTCCATCAGAAACTGAGTATTTACAACAGCGCTGAAAGACTTTTCTCTGAAAGTTCAGGAGATGGATCAACTGCAAATAAGGGCTCAGGATTAATTCCCTCATATTAGATGTGCAGTTGGTTCATCTGTCATCAGAACATTGCATGCTGGGAGGTGGTTTTGGATAAAGAGGCTACAGAGTTTGAGTCCTTGCTTGCATGCTTCTCTGAAGGCTGTTATTGCTGATATAAGGGATCTCTTCGGCGTCTCTCCATAGAGTCCAGCCCCCTTTTAAAGTTCATTAATTAGACGTATAAACTCCACTATGGCAGTTCTTTTTCCTCCCCAGAATGCTTTGAAATCCATCACAAGAGAAAGACACAAGGAAATACTAAAGGGCTCATCCTGGATGTGGAATGTAACATTGCAGAAACCTATAATAAAAGCATAAAAGAAGCTGAGGACAAAAGCAAATGTGAGCAAGTTGATACCGAACCCCGTCTGTTTAAGGACTTTACTGTATGTATGTGTTGTGAGTGATGAGTTTTCCAACAAGATTGGGTGATTTAACTTGGTGGTGAGCTCAGTGATCCCTCTAAAGGTGCTCTGGCGTCATCACAGCACATCTAAGAAATGGCTCCTAAATTAGCCAGGTGGAGTCTGGACTCCCTGAGGGGGGAAAACAACATCGCCAGCATGAAAACATTTCCCACAGGACGGCAAAGAATTTCTGCCTGAGGAGGGTTCTAGAAAAAAAAAAAAACAGAGATACCAGAACAACAACACTGTTCTAGTGGTAGCTTGTTAAAAGTCAAATAAGTAGAACTACAGTAATACACTTGAGTGATCTACAGTGTTTACATTGAATACAGGATGTGAAGAAAATAAGGTGTCGAGGATGCGATTTAAGTACAGGGGACAATTTCAACAAAGTGGATGCATCTCTGTGCCACCCAGGAAGGACAGATGTCCAGGTTTGTGGTAACGTGCTGGACGACGGTGAGAAGGAAAAGGTGATAGAGGGCGGGAGAGAGAATGAAGAGGTCTCTGGCTCTGCTCATCAGCTTTTGGTCCCTGGGGTTGGTTTATCTGCAGACTCTCCACCGCCGGAGCTGTTTGGCCTAACCTCTGCTGCCCCATGGTACAGTAGTTATTGAGCTCCGCCGCCGTCTCTGCTTTCAGACCGGCACCGGCCAGGCCTTGCCCCCGTAGTCCTGCGGCTTCGCTTCAGTGCCAGGCCCCTTGCCAAAGGAGAGTAAGTGCCACGAGGGGCCCAGAGTCTCAGCCTCATCCTGATAAGCAGATGGGCTTAAAAAGGGGCCCGCTTGTTTGTGAGAACACAAAGTCTTTTGGATAAAGAGAAGACGTCCTGGCAGTCACACCTCAATGATGTTGACAGATGGCATCCTATTGTTGTTGTTGTTGTTGTTCTTGGGGAACTGTGGGAGGGAAGAGGAATATGACAGGTATGAGAAGGCTGGAGGACTCACAGGAATCACACAATAGACCTCTTTAATGAGCATGAGGATGCCTCTGTACTGTTTTATTGATGTCTTACGACAAAGTGAACAGAATAAAGATTTGCTTTGACTTTTGTTTTCTGCACTGTTCTGAACACAAGAGATGGATATGTACATGGGGCTGATCAAAAAAGAACTGATTAGAAGCCATGATTTGTGTGTTTGCTGTTTGAATGTTGCAAAGGCATGCACATAATGGGGCCATGTTGCAGCAGTCGTTTAGCTGAAGCCTGAAGCTGATGTTCAGATGACAGTGTCAGTGGAAAAAAGTCAAATACAAGTGAGCCGGGACCATTCACCTGCCCGGAGCCGCTGAGGGGTGGGGGCACCCTTGGGGGGGGAGGAGAGGGGTGGGTTATACCTTACTGCGCAACAGCCCACCCGTCGGATGTTCAGGAGTGCTGCACTCGGAGGAGTTTTTGGCTTTGTCCTTGTTGTTGTTGGGCTCGTTGTCTTTGATTATGTCATACTGGCGACAGAAGAGAGCAATCACACCTGGGAGGAGAGGCAGAACGTATTCATGGTCAGCCAACTCTGCTTATCCTCTCAACACAAATTGATGCACCTGCTTTTGTAAGCAACAGCAAGGGGTTTTGTGTTATTTTCAGTCAGATTACCACAGAAACGCTATGTGTCAAGATGTCTGATCCTGGTTCAATAAACACTTTTGTCCTCACCTGCCCACATGATAAGTACCACCACGATGATGATGAGCTCCCCCGCCCTCAGCTGGGTGGTCTGGCCCACTTCCTCCATCGTCACTTCGTCTAAAGGAGTCAACGGACAACATGATTATCTGACTGTTAGTGGAAGTGGATTAAGATCGACCAAAAAATGTCAAATTCTGTCAAATTACTGGAAAAACAGTAAAGAAATGATTCATCATCTATTATTGAATAAGACAGAGGAAGTTTGCTACTGACACATATATTCATTAAAATGTCCCATCCCACTGCCTAACTGTAAAAGAGCAAAGGTCAATGTGCTGAACTGATCTTCATCAGACACCGTTATTACCAGCAACGTTTTCAATTTAATTTTCTCTTGATGTTGCCACTATGACAGTATTGTCCATTGTCTCACTGTCTCAGATGGCCTTTTCTGCCTGAAGTTTGGATAATTTCCCTTTTACATGCAATAGCCTGTCATAAAGTTTTGGGATCATTTTGTGCTTCTATTGAGATGGTAGAGTTTCTGAGTCTTGAGGCAAACCATCTTTTGGAAGATGAGGAGCTGCTAATTTGCAGCAAAATTATACAACATATCAGCAAAATGTTTTGCTATAAAATCACCCTTTTTCACTGAGTCTAATGACTGACACTTCAAGCAGGCTGAGCTCGGAGGCATATCAGTCAGCATCAGTGTGTTTATGCAGTACAGGTCTCTTGTAATAAGAACTGCCAGGTTGCTCTATCACAGCATGAGCACACAAATCCTGTGCATGAACAATTTTGCAACAACCGTCTCCTCAGAGGTGAAACGGCTGACAGATCAGGGTGTTGTGATCAGAGAAGAGGTTTGTACGCGACACGGTTGATTCGGCATTCAGATATCAAATGGTAAACAACCTCTGATATCCATTTCTTGCTCTTATGGTAATTACAGGACTGTGTGACAATTATTAGGGAAGGAGGAGGGTTATGTAGATTTTCTTTGAGAAAGCAGGGGAACGTGTTTTAAATTGTCACCACAAATTTAGATTTTATTTCAGCCTCTCCTTATGAGACTAATTCAAAAACATCAAATAGTTGCACATTTTAGCTTTAGGGTGCAGAGACAGGTGGTGGAAGAAGTATTCAGATCCTGAAGTAAAAGTATCAATAACCTCCTGCATTCAAAACCGTACTTAAAAGCATGTAAGTATTATTAACAAAGTGTACTTACAGTATCAAAAGTAAAATTAGTCTCCAGAAAATTATTTCCACAAACAGAACAGAACATACCTATGAATATTATATTCCATTTCTGGACATACTCTTTTACACTTTTGCACTTCAAGGTCTATATCCTTACTCATGAGATCTTCCTCACATTGTGTCTTATTCCCTGAATGTTCTGTGAATCGAGTGCTTTTACCCGTTCAGATCTCAGTCTATACTTTATACATCCATGAGGAATACTGGCACTTGTCAGCTGGTTTTCTCCCATCGCCATTATATGTTAAATTACAGGTGCCGCAACGTAACGGCAGGGATCTGTACACTGGCACAGGTGCTGATAAGGACCTTGGTTGCAGCAGGAAAGAAAGTGATGATTTTCAAAAGACTGACTTCATACAGGCAGGCATTTTAAACCACATAAATGCAGGCAAACACACGCATACATAGAGATGTGTTTTGCATGATCACTAATAGGCCTAATTCTGAGAGCGAGTCAAAAGATCACAGCAAGGCAGAACATGAAGAGAATAGTTAAGGCTTCATCGAGGCCACTGGGGATCCTGCGTACTACAGCGTGATGGAGAGGTAAAGCACAGAAAAACAGGATCGACTCACACCAATTAGACTCCATCATCTCTGAAGTTGTATGACCATGAGGAGAAATACCAAACAGAGAAGTGAGCGTTTTCTTGTTTTTTGCACATACAGCGGCCTGCCTGTAGATGCCTGCAGGTTTCTATGCAACAAAGCAAAAACCTGCAGTAACTGTTTCTTGCACTGCTGAGTGTTGTGGAAGTCAGGCTTGATCTAAAGTTCACCGCAGCGTACAGAACTTCTATCCTTTTATTAGATGCAGTGGGTGACATTTGGAGGGCCCAGTGTGGCAGGAACCCCACGCTCCAGTAGCTTTTAGCAACAAGCAATTCTGCTGATCGATTGGCCTCTGTTGCCCAGTATTAACTAATCAAAGCACAACAGCCTAAAGCGCCTGACATTGTTTCCAGCTGGCCTCACTGGGGCTAACTGGTCAGCTGTAACACCTCTGATGCATGCTGACCACTTGCTGGATGAGGCTCTGGGTTTTATGAATGAACAGCTTTAAAGTTAGTTGGAGTGTCACTTTAATACATACAGAAACAGGCTGTAAACATGACAATCTGTGGTTTTTGTTAAACAATAGCTGGGTGCACTACACTATACAGAGACCAAACCTGTGCTCAGAGAGTGTATCTTGCAACCTGTGCTGTAGCTGGAGTTAAGCACAATAGAAGTGCACAGCAGGGACCAGGATTATAAAAATACTGAGGCCATAAATCCAAGAAGCGACCTGGAAATTCTGTACATTTTTTCTTTATATTTGGATGTTAATTTATTCAACTGTTCTTTTATATTTTTTGTTTGTTCATTTAAAACAGCTGTATTTCCCTACATGATGTGAAAAGTGTTTTCCATCCCCCCAGGAATAAATTATGTTGTTGTAAAGTTAATTTATGTATTTTCCTTGTCCTAAAAATGGTCAAATTTAAGGAGAAAAATAATAGTATCTGTCATTTGAAAACCCACTTTTTTTGACTTTATAATTGGACTTCAGGTCCCCATATCACCCCAAAAAACAAATACCAAGGACCAGTAAAGTACAAATTTTAGGTAGTTGACTCAAGTGTTTACAGGTTATGCAACCCTGTGTCTTGCTACTTTTACATAAGTAAAGAATCTGAATACGTCTTCCACCACTGTGTAGTGGAGTACATAACCTCTGTGTCTTCAGTGGTAAAATGGTAAACTGCCCCCACACAGACATAAGATTGATATGCATCTTCTCATCTCATTCTTGCAAAGGGGAAAAAGTGTATTTCCCAAAATGCTGAGCGGTTCACTTTAAGGTGCCAAAGCCATGTGAGATTTTTCCTTTTTCTTTAATGTGACTTCAGTGGCCACAGTGGCCCAGGAGTAGTTTTGTTTGTCCTATGGGATGTATCAGAGATGAGGGATGGGGAGATATTTTCACATACATATCAAACATGACAGAAGAAAGGAAAACTATTTCCCTATGGGCCAGAGCACTGATAGTATGTAATTAGTGGACAGAGCTTTGGGTCTATAAAGTGAAGCCAAGGTGGAAGTGTCTTAAACCTGCATTCTTGATTTATTACCTCAGTAAACAGTGACCTAATGAGTTTATGGTCTGAATCGCTAGTTTTAAGTCTTCTTGAATACAGTTTGTTTTGTAAACTATGGTCCCATTTAGAGTAAAATAGATCGTGGTTTATACTTTGTGACTGACAGCTCATTCTCAGTGGGTCCATCCAGCGCAATGCACAAAACTCAGATCAAACTGTGCAGGGCTGTGACAAAACACACATAGTTTGTGTGTTTTTTGGGGAAGCAGAATTTAATTGTCTGTCACTGGATTTCTTATTATCCTTCTGGTACTTCCTCCCTATTTTCCCCTCTCTGCCAGTCACTCTATTTTCCCCCTTCCTCTATTTCTCTGATTCATCTTCTCTTCCTCCTGTTTTGTGCACAGGTTGTGTTTTTTTCGTCTCTCTCGCTTCCCTTCATCTCCTGAAGCTTAAACCCGCTGTGAAAGAGGAAATTAGAAGGAATATGGAACAATCCAGCATTTTGGGCTCATCCTTTGCTCTTTCCACTGAGATCAGCGCGATATGGCAGAACATAAGGGCTGAGCAGTTGAGCGAGGATGGTGAAAAGCTCCCTTTTCTTCTAGGGACGTTTGCCTGTCATATGGAGACAATGGAGAAACAACTGTACTGAGAGACTCTCTCTCCCACACTCTCTACTCTGTGTAATTATCTGCAGTAAAAGACTCTGTCCTTTACAGTAACAACACAGGCCATTTCCCACCATTTGGGTTTGTTATACCTTTAATGAAAGATAAGCTTAGAAATGATTGATCATTTCAACACCTCAGTTTACGCTGATATTTATGTTAAATTCTGTTGATGGCAGATGTAAAACAATGAGCAGTTGATGTTACATTAACTCTCTTAGGAAGGTCTGAAATAGTGAAGAAGAAAATGATTAGTGATCACCTGTGAAGTATCTGCAAAATCATGCAAAATAAAATCCTTCGGTATAAAAGCCCAACATATCCTGGAGGATTTGTCTCGCTCTTATGGAAAATGAACAAAGAATCCTGACAACACTGATTTTCCAAAGCATTACAAAATGTAGACTTGAAGAACATCTGCTCATCTGTCATCAAAAGGTTTCATTGTTTCAACATAGCTAAGCTAATTAAACAGACATCCTTGAGCAAGAGCTGCAAATGAGACTGAGAAGGATGTGTGGCGTTGTTCTAAACTGTGAAGTTGTTGAGTGCAGGCGAAGGATGATGAATTACATTCCTGCTCTCTGTGGAGATTTGCTTTGTGAAACGCATGCATGGTGGGATATGTGTATAGGAGCGGGGAAATCTTCCTTGCTTTGCAGCGAATAGGGACTTTCACACGCTGTCTGTCTGTGTGTGCAGAGCCTGCCAATATGTGGAAATCTTACTTTTTTTTTTGGAGGGGGAAATGGATGAGTGAGCCGAGACAGAGTGCTGCCTCCTCTAACAGTCTTCCACATAAAAAAAACATCATCAAACATCATCAATCAAATCAAACATAGAGGCATCCACTGCATTTTGAACCTATGGACAATGCCAGGCAAGCTGTTTCCCTGTTTTTTCAGTCTTTATGCTAAGCTACGTTTGCTGGCAGTAGCTTCATGTTTAGTGTACAGACATGAGAGTGCTTAGAAAATTAGTTCAAACCAACTGTTTGATGACTTTTGTGACATTTCCCTTTAGCACATTTTCTGTAAGAGATTTGTAGTTTTGCTAACAATATTATGTCCAAACATGCTTATTTATTTGAATTGTATTTTATTGGTTCTTTATATGTATGGCGCCATGAAAAATGGTAAATTAATGTTATTCCACACGCACTTCATGCCACCCCTGCATAACCTAGTGCCCGACTGTTTATGAGGCACTTCTTTTTATGTCTGTGCATTGTGCATAAGTTGAGTTTCTCATCACCGGTTCAACCTCAAAGAAATGAGCATGTGCATGTACACAAACGAATAAAACTTGAAAAAAAAAACCACTTGTTTATTTGGATCCTGGGCAGTTATTGATTTCTCTAAATTCTTCCTCTTGCAGAAACAACACTTCCTGTGCTAATTAGGCCTCAGTGGCGAGAAGAGCATGTTTTCAGAGGTCTGCACTGATTGTAGTTATATTGTACATGTCTCTGCCAGCACACTTGCCATAAGAGAAGTTTAGACTCCACAGGCTGGGAAGTATCGAAGTATAGTGGCAGCTCACATGAGAGATGAGTGTAAATGAGAGGAGGAATAGATGGAGCAGAGCTTCAGCCAACAGCACATTGATTCGCTACCCCTCACAGCTCTGACTACCTCCTCTCTGTGTCTGATAAATGCCTTTCCTCATTTTGGTTTACCGTGCAGTTGTGCTGGGTGCATGCCGGGTGAGGACTGCCAAGGCACATCAATACACAATGAAGTACGCACCCCCTTGGACGTTTTATTCTCAAGTTGTGGTCAGTGGGGGTGAGCTCTAGAAGCACTCTGTTGTGAAATTTCATTTCACGCTTTGTGTGTTTATTGATTTTTATTGGTCTTTAGACAAAATCAGTCAAGATATTGTCAAAAAGGTAAGTCCCCTCTGCACTCACTGTCTTGAAAAGGACAGAAACAGAGTGAGAAAATGTGTGGGTCTTTTTTTTTCTTTAAGTGTGGTTATGTTGGATGACTGAGCAAGTGTTCGTATTTCTCTGTGTGTGTGTGTGTGTGTGTGTGTGGATGTGTTTGTGCCACTTTACCTTTACTCTTAGAGGCCTGAGTCTCGGCCTCCTTCGGCGTTCGGAAGCGCAGGGGTTCGCTCAGCGGGCTTGTGCCAGACATGCTGATGGACTGGACATGCACAATGTAGTCTGTCTCTTCCTCCAAGTCCCATAATGCACAGGAGCGTGTGGTGGTGTTGACTTCCTGGATGAATCGCAGCATGCGCACGTCTTTCTTCTGTTGGAGTATGACGATAGACGGGGTGAGTTTTATTTACAGCAAGAGGACAGATGATCTGTGTTCTGTCATCATGCTCTACAACAGAACACCCACCTACATGGTGGAGGGTTGTGGTTCGGCTTTAAATTTGCACAAGAATTTCAGTTTAGCTAACTGGAGAGACACTTAAGCCACTCAGAGTCTTATTTATTTATTTATAGGCACTTGAACTGCTCAAGAGGCCTTCTGGTGTCATATTGGGTCAAACATAATGTTCTGAAATGTCCTATTAGGGCAGAGAGAAGTCCTGGTTGAATAAAAGTTGCACACAAGTTAACTAGTGTATTTTGACATTTAGAGGAATGCTGTAGATACTGTCCTACATGAACTGTTAAAGAACTAGTTCAACATTTTAAGAAACACATATTTGCTTTCTTGGCAAAAACTTGATGGGAAGACTGATACCACTCATGTTTGCACAGTAAATAGGAAGCTGGAGTCAGGAGTTGGTTAGCTTAGCTTAGCATAAAGACTGAAAGCAGGGGGAAACAGCTAGCCT